CTCAGTCATAGCATTCAAACAAATTTCTTCAGACATATCAAGTGATGATAAGTCAACCGTGTACACATTGTTTATTTTCTTTCCCTTGAATATCACAGTACTGTTTGATATTCTTTCTATTAAGCAGCAGGAAGGGTCAAAGATGACTCGATAAGTTGATCCACATATTTGGCTTATAGACAGCAAATTATGTTTTAATCCTTCGACATAGAGTACATCTTCAATGACTAGAGATGTGTTGCTACTAATTGTACCTTTACCTACTACAGAAGCACAGTTATTGTTACCATAGTAAACCTTACCTCCCTTTTTAGGATTCAGAAAAGAAAAAAGAGCTTTATTACCCATCATGTGGTGAGAGCATCCAGAATCGAGGTACCAGATGTTTGCACCAATCTTATTCTGAAAGGAAAGTGATTTTAATTAGAGTTTTTAACAACCCAAACAAGTTTGGGTTTTTGTCTTCTGGAATAGCAGTGTTCAGAGTTATGTCCTTGTTTTCTACAGTACGAGCAGGTGGAATAGTAGTTTCTGAAGTCATGTAGTCTTTTGGGTTTATAAGGATTATAATTATGACTACTCCAACCAGTATTGTAGGATACAGAGGGCATCCATGAATACTTTGGTATGGTTCTTGAGAGGTTTCCTAGTTGTCTTTTTAAGATCTTATTTTCATTAGTTAGGTTAGCAACCTGACTGTCTTGAGTGAATTGAGCATACTGCTGTGTTTCTATGAGGTCTTTGAGTCTTTTTATTTCAGTATTTCTATCATTCAATTGATCTACAACAAGACAGTATTTGCTTTTCAATCTATTACATTCATCTTGGAGGTTAGAAAGAGCATTTAGAAAAAAATCTTCATTTTGATTTTCATGGTTAAATTCAGAAGAAGTTTCTGACCAAACCTGATCAGTAGGGTTCTCATCTTCCACGTTTGAGTTGATTCCCATGAGAGCCAGGTTTTCAGTTTCCTCCTCTGAGCTGTAATCACTCCAAGAGGTTACCATGGCTTTTTCCCTTTTTCTGTTCAGAGGGCAGTTTGCTCTTATGTGACCTGTTTTGCCACATTTAAAACAGATAGTAGAGTCAGTAGAACTTTTTATTTCTTTGGGACTGTTTTCATGTCTGTTTGATCCAAATGAGTTTTTTTCATTTGAATTTACAGAGCTATGTCCATGGGATCTAGAGTTGTGAGGATTAATGTTTCCAGAGGGCCTAAAGGAATAGCCATTTGATTGACTATTTCTTCTAGCATTCTGATCATGTTTGTACTTCATCATTCTTTGGAGTTTCTTTCTGGTGAGGGCAAGTTCATTTTCGAACTCCTCATCCAGTTTTTCTCCTTCATTGTTACATATAGAATTGAAGGCTATATTTTTATTTTTCTTGTCATGAAGAGTAGTCATCTGTTTTAGAACTTCTTCATGACTTAGTAGGGATCCAATCAAGTTTTCCAGAGACAGAGTGTTGAGATCCTTAGCCTCCTCTATAGCTGTTCTCTTAGCCATCCATTCTAGAGGAAGAGACCTTAGTACCTTTCTAACTAGTTCTTTACTAGAAAAGGTTTTTCCTAGACCCTTTAGTCGATTAACTAAAGTAGTGAATCTTTAGTCCATCTCAGAGATTGACTCTCCTGACAGCATATCAAAGGTTTCATATTCTTTAAGTAGAAGGTCAATTCTGGTTTCTTTTACTTCTGAAGTTCCTTCATGGGTAGTTTCTAAGATTTCCCAGATTTCCCAGATTTCTTTAGCTGTTTCACACTTATTAACTCTTTCTCCTTCATCATCTGAAATGGCAGAAAGTAAAATGTGCATTGCCCTAGAATCTAGTTGAGCACTTTTCATTTGTTCTTTTGACCAATCCTCCTCATCGTCCTCTTTCATGTCAATTGGTCCATTTCGGACAATTGCCCATAATTCACAGTCGATTCCTCGGAGGTAAAGTCTCATTCTTTTTTTCCATACAGAATAATTAGAACCAGAGAACCAAGGAGGGTTTGAGCTGGTGGGAAATGAGTTAGAAGACATGGTGAGGCACAGGATCTCCTTATCGGCAACTTAACGTTCCACGACAAGGGAGCTCTGATACCAATTGTTATCACCAGGTCTCAATTCATTTCTATTTAGAGAATTGTAATTGTGAATTAAGAAACAGTGAGATGATTTTAGTATGAAGATTAAACACAGTGCTAACTTAATCCGACAATAAGAAAGCGAAATGACTGAAACTATCAAGCAAGGCAAACTAACAGCTATGCCCAGATCACGAAGAGTCCCTGGCAACAGCCCCGACTCTACGAATCCAGACACAAACACAGGAACCCTAACCAACTATCCCAAGAACTAACCCGTTCTTCCGATAGAGGAAACCGTTACCCTTCGTCTCCATGAGCAGCGCTTTTTATAGAAATTCTCGGCATGGACTTGCGATCCTATCTCTCTCTTCATGAATGATGAGACCGTTGGACGGAGTCTTCGGGAAAAATGGTTTTTGATGCAGAATGACAGGGAAGTTGTTCTTCCTCGAGGCTTCGATAGCTTTTGGGGATTTTGGGATGAATGGCGAAGACGCTTCTCGTCAGATTGGTCTTCTTTTGGGCTGAGGACTTCTTTTGGGTTCCGGCTTTGACGAGATACTAGTGGGCCGAGGCCCAACATACTCGACACTGGTGCATCTGATCATATCTCTTGCAGCCTAGAATCCTTCTTTGAATCCAATCCAGTAGAGAACCAATTTGTTTACTTACCTAATGGCTCTAAGGTTGCTGTGAGTCATATAGGTAGAGTCAGATTACCTTCAGGATTAGTTCTTGAGAATGTTCTCCTAGTGCCCAGTTTCTCTTTTAACCTTGTTTCTGCGAGCAAACTTACAAATGATTTGCCCATTTCCTTACATTTTCAATCTGACTCTTGCCAAATTCAGGACCTAATGACCCTCAACAGGACTGGTTTGGCAAAGCATATTAGAGGGCTCTATCAACTAAACTTCAAGACTTCCCCATCTTCTTCATCACCCCAAACACAACCTCAGGCAGCAGCTGTCTACAACTTTTCCTTTCATAACTTTGACTTGTGGCACTGGAGACTTGGACACCTTCATAAAGAGAAAGAGAAACTACTAGTTCCATGTAATAGGAATCCTAGTTTTCATTGTGAAACCTGTCATTTTGCCAAACACAAAAGGCTTCCTTTCCCTGTTAGTTCTTCTCAAGCGCAGGATGCTTTTGCTCTCATTCATGTGGACATATGGGGTCCACTTGCTGTTAAATCTCATGAGGGATACTCTTGTTTCTTAACAATTGTTGATGACTATTCAAGAGGTGTTTGGACCTACTTAATGAAGCACAAGTCAGAAGCTAGCTAGCTGTTAGAGTCATTCTGTGTGATGGTTGTCGCAACCGCCCCTCGAGTTCGGGGGGATCCGTCACGAATTGCTCGGAGTCGCCATCAACCTTAGTTATGGTGGGTCGAACACCATTTTGGCCCGGCCTCGACCTCAGGGTCGAAACCAGGATTTGGTTTGCGGAATTTAGAGATTTGGGTTCGGGAGTACGGTTACGTGTGGAGAAGTGTATTCACACCCCACAACGCCCAAAATTGGTACTACTTAAATCGATAAGTTTTTAAATGTTGGGTGTATTATTATTTGCGGCCTATTCAGTATTAAATTATAAGATTCAAATAATTAGGTATTTATTTTTATGATTCGATCATACGTCTATTGACGCAAAATCTCATAAGTAAGAAAGTATTTTTTATTAGTTAGACTCGAACCTATTGGTTGCCTACGTACCCGAGTTAATCGGGATCAAACCCACGTAGTTCGTTCAAGATTGATAGGGTTTTTTATGAAGTGATCTTAAACATGTTCTATTGATTGCGATTAAGATGATTCGAGTTGTTATAAAATGGATTTATGATTTTTTAATTTTGTGATTGAGTGATAAATGACCTTTGAAAGTGTTTCACCGTGAACGATTATTGCGGTCTAATGACCATGATTTTTTTGTATTAAAGGGAATTTCCAAGTAAAATAAATATGTGTATGTAAAATGAAGCCTAAATTTAATCAAGATTTTAATGTTCTGAAATACTTAGAAGTAATCGTAACACGATCGGTCAATATAAATTTTGCGTATTAATCAACAAGAAGTACGATGCAGCCCGATTGGTCAAACCAAAAAGTCTTAACACGATTGGTCAATATAAATTTTGCGTATTAAACAACAAGAAGTACGATGCAGCCCGATTGGATATGCGCTTAACTACGTGTGTTGTGAATAGGGGTGGGCAACCGGTTCGGTAAACCCGAACCGAACCGAACCGAAACCGAATTAAACCGAACCGAAACCGAAATAATGCTATTCGGTTCGGAATTCGGAAGGGAAATATGGATATTTCGGAAACCAAGGTTCTTTCAACCGAACCGAATTTCCGAATTTCCGACCGAAAAACCGAAATACTATAATTGTAAGCTTCAAATGGTGGATTTTTATGTTTGTAGTTGTTTTTAGACTTAAATATTTGAAATATTTTATGACTTATGTGTTGAAAAGTTTGATTTTTCATTGATGATGCATATAATTACATATTTATTGTTTATATTAGGAGTGAAAAATAATTTAAAAATGAGAAAATACAAGTAGCCTTACAAATTCGGTTTTCTGTGAAAAACCGAACCGAACCGAATTATAATTCGGTTTAAACCGACCGAACCGAATTATAATTCGGTTCGAATTCGGTTTGAGGTTTGGGAGAATTCGGGGACCCGGTATTCATAATTTCGGTTCGGTCGAAACCGAACCGACCGAATGCCCACCCCTAGTTGTGAACTTGAAGTCCAGGGTTCGGGACTTGCTGGAAGTAGTTTTTTATTTGTTTTTTCGTTCAGTTCGGGAAGGTGGCAGGGTAGTTATTTTAACAAAAACAGATGGGCACTTTGGTCATTTTATCGGGTTCGGGTTTATAAACCCGTTTTTACAGAAACCTAACCCTAGCCGCCCCAATCCTCAACTCCAACTCATCTCCTCTCGTCTCTGTCTGAAACCCAAAAACAAAAACGACGAAAGTAGAGGAAATACATTCTATCTCCTTCATCTCTTCTCTCGATTTTCTGCCAAGGAAAAAAACGAAAAAAGGAAAGAAAATGTCTCTACCTCTCGTCTCCTCCCTCGTGTTCTTTCTGGAAACCGAGCAGGGGCCAAAAAAAACAACGATGATGCTCCGCACAACCCTCAAACCGATGGTAAGTCAAGATTTGAGGCTTGCATGTTCGATTTTTAGGGGGTTTTGTTGGATTTAAGTTCTGATGCATTTTATGGTTTGATTTGAGTTTCGGGGCGAGGTTTCGATCACGCAAAGGAGGAGGAAGTCGTCGTCGGCAAAGATCTCCGACGGCAACGGCGACAAAGACGAGAAAGATTATGGCCGGCGAAAAAGTGTGTTCTGGTGAAAGGTTTTGAGCTTCTTGATTTGCCTTTTAGCAGTTTCTGATTTCTTACTTTATTTTGGTGCAGGAATTTAAACTAAACTGATTATTATGGCATATCCTTTTGAAATTGATTGGGTAAGATTAGGGAGTTTAAACTACTAAGGATTTGATTCTTGTAAATAGATCGAGTTTGAGCTTGTATGGGCTTTGTATAATGTTAATCTGGCCAAGATTGATTAATCAGAACTATTTTCAGTAAATTGGGGTTCGACAAATTCAGATTTTGGGCTAAAGAAATGTGGTTTTGAAGCTGGTTTGGTATTTAGTGGTAATATGTAGGATATCAATATATATTATTAGTAGGATCCTAGTTAATCCTACTATATCATGATTTTTGAACAGATTTGTACTAAACAAGAATAGAGTGCGAATTGATATAACATATGTATGTATGATATAGTATATAGTATATATTCATATTAAATAAATAGATGATATGATAATAGCGATAGAAAGATGAACTTAATCAAGTAGATGATGGTAATAGTGGGTTGCTTAAGTGGAAATGTTGAAATGAATGACAAAAGCCGAAAGGGATATATTGATGATTTCAGAGAGGAACAATAAATTTGATTTGTTGATTTGTTTTGTTATTATAGTGAGATTAACCATCTTGTAATTGGGTTGCTTGTGTTCGATTTTGAAAAGAGAATAACCTTACTTCACATAGGCAGGAGAAGTTATAAGTTTATGAATGATGATGAAAACAGAAGGAAGGATTCAATTTGAGCTACTAACCTTGAGTTTTGAAGTTTGAGGAAGGGTTGGAGCTGCTTCCTCCTTTCTGTGGGTATATTCGCTGCTGTTGTGGTTTTGCGGACTGCTTGTACGTTGTTTGTGGGATTTTTGTGTTGTCGTGGTGTGTTTTGGGGAGGAAGTACTAGAAGAGAACTTTTTTGAGCTGCTCTTTTTTTTTTTTTCTTCTCTTTTTCTGCTCCTTTTGGCTTTCAGTTGGCGTCTGGAATTTTGAAGGAGAAGAAGAGGAAGAAGAAGAAAAAGAGTGGGGATTTTTGTTCCTTGTATTGTCGGTGGAAAAGAAGAAAAAGAAGGAGAAGAAGCCGTCTTACTTTTAGTACTGTATTTGTATGTGTTTGAGGAGAGATGAGAGGCTTATTTTTCTGTTGGTTTCTTTAGGAAGGCGAAAGGAAAATGCCAGAGGAAGAAGAAGCCAGTCCGTCCCCCGTCCCCCTTTGCAAGTACCCAGGGGGTCTTTTTATAAGGAAAAGGGCTGCTTGGTCCCCAAGCATGCTACAGTACCGGTCCGAGTATGGCCGGTTTTGGTAATGGGTTGGACCGGGTCAACGGGTCACTTTGGTCAGCTTTGACTATAGTTTACTTTTGTTGACCGGGCTTTGTCCTAGACACTGGACACTGTTTATTTTTGCACAATCTGTAACCACTATTGTGATTAATTGTAACGAATTTGTAATTATTAGTTGATGGCAATCTATTTTCTTTATGGTTCTCGTCATCTCAATTTCGGTTCATGTAAATATATGGGGATCAAATCTATTGAATTGATCAACCCTACAACACTTTTGAATAAATTGTGACAACTAAAGTTAGCTATAGCCATCCATTCAGTCGTGCATTTCCTTTGAAGTCCATATTTAGATGAATATAACGTTCCAATCCAATCTCGTTTAATCAAAACAAACCACCAAAGTTCAACTTCAAACCATTTTGTGCTTAAGTATATTTGATTGAAAAGATGTTTAGGATTTGCTATTGCTAGTCCAAAGACAAATCGAGCTCTCAACTCTTTTTATTTTGTCGCCATAATTAGTAAATCGCCCGGACAAAATGTGGTGTCTACAATGGTTTCTAAACAGTTTTCAAAGCATGTTAAGGTTGTTAGAAGTGATCAGGGAGGTGAGTTCCATATGGCAGATTTCTATGCTGCTAATGGGATAGAAAATCAGTTATCATGTGTGGAGACCCCTGAACAGAATGCCAGAGTTGAAAGGAAACACCAACATATTTTGAATGTAGCCAGATCCTTGAAGTTTCAATCAGGTGTTCCTCTTCAATTCTGGAGTGATTGTGTGTTACATGCTGTCTATCTCATAAACAGAATTCCCACTACTGCTCTAAATAACATCTCACCCTATGAACTTCTTTATCACAAACCACCTAGTCTTTCTGGCCTTAGGGTCTTTGGTTGCTTATGCTATGCTGCCACCTTGCATAGAGACAGAACCAAATTTGATTCTCGTGCAAGGCAATGCATTTTTCTTGGCTACCCTTATGGCATTAAGGGTTTTAAACTCTATGATCTCAATTCCCACAACTTCTTTGTCTCTAGAGATGTTACTTTCTATGAGACTATTCTGCCTTTCCACATTTCTTCCACTTCTTCTACTGCTCCTACTCTCCTTCCAGATCCCATCTATCCTGTTTTGACCCCTCTTTCCTCAGACACCACCTTACCCAGTACTTCCACCCTCTTACCTCTCCTACTGTTTCTCCTTCTACTTCCCAGAATGCACCCAGTTCTCCTCCTATTCCTTCTTCTTCTTCTTCTTCTTCCATTCCACCATCATCATAACACACTTCAGGGTCTGAGTTTCCTGGTTTGCATTTTGTGGGGGGGGGATGCTGAGATAGAAGTTTTCCCTGATCACAATGACACAGATGAAGCTGAATTTGTCAGAAAGTCCACTAGGGCCAGAACTGTTCCAGTTTGGCATAAGGATTATGATGTTAATATTGCTGCTTCATGTTCAAAACATCACATCTGGAAATACTTCACCTATGAGCATCTTACTCCTGCACAGAGATCCTTTGCACTTAGTGTTATGATGAATGTGGAACCTACTTCTTATGCTGAAGCCTATAAGGATCCAAGATGGAATCAGGCTTGTAACGAGGAACTGGCAGCTCTGGAAGAAAACCAGACTTGGGAAGTTGTGAAGTTACCTGAGGGTAAGAAGGCTGTAGGTTCAAAATGGGTGTTCAAAATTAAGCACAAGTCTGATGGAACTATTGAGAGGTTTAAATCCAGGGTTGTTGCAAAGGGATATACACAAATCTATGGGATTGACTTCTTAGACACTTACTCACTAGTTGCTAAGATCAATTCTGTGAAAACCTTGTTGGCAGTGGCAGCATCAAAGGAATGGCACATTCATCAAATGGATGTCTCCAATGCATTTCTGCATGGAGACTTAAAAGAGGAAGTTTATCTTGAAATACCTCCTGGAGCTAATGTTCCTAGAGGTCAGGGTCTTGTTTACAGACTTAAAAAGTCTCTTTATGGCCTCAAGCAGGCCATCAGGCAATGATTTGCCAAACTAACCACTGCCTTGATGAAAAATGGATATTCCCAAACATCCTCAGACTACTCTATGTTTGTGAGATGGATTCAGGGCAGGATTGTGGTGGTTCTTGTGTATGTTGATGATATTCTTATTGCAGGCAGTTACTTAGGTGACATTGAACAGTTGAAGTTATTTCTTGGGAGAGAGTTCAAAGTCAAGGACCTTGGTCAGATGAGCTATTTCCTGTGCCTGGAAGTCTTAAGAGATCACAAAGGGATTTCTTTTAGTCAAAAGAAGTACTGCCTGGAATTGATTACTGATGCAGGATACATTGAAGCAAAGGGGTGTCTTACCCCTGTTGATTGCAACTTAAAGCTGACAGCTACACAAGGAGAAGCCTTGTCTGATCCCACTGTTTACAGAAGGTTAATTGGGAAGCTCCATTACCTCACAATTACCAGGCCTGATATTACCTATGTTGTTCAACAGTTGGCACAGTTCCAAGGCATACCAACTGCTGTACACCTTCAAGCAGCTCATAGGGTTATCAGGTATCTAAAACACACACCAGGACAAGGTCTTGTTTTCAAGTCTGATTCAAAATTGGAATTGTCAGGTTTTTGTGATGCAGATTGGGCAAGTTGCCCTGATTCCAGGAGGTCGTTGACTGGTTATTGCACCTTCCTTGGAACATCCCTCATCACTTGGAAGACGAAGAAACAAACCACTGTGTCTCGCTCATCTTCTGAAGCTGAGTACAGGGCCTTGGCACAAGTGGTTTGCGAAGTACAATGGCTTAGAAATCTCCTGCTTGAGATGGGAGTTCAGGTCCCATTGCCAATCCCTCTGTTCTGTGGCAACAAATCAGCATTACATATCGTAGAAAACCCCGTTTTCCACGAGAGGACGAAGCACATTGAAATTGACTGCCATGTTACAAGGGAGAGGCTGAAGTCTGGTTTGATAAAGCTGAGTCACGTGAGAACTGATGATCAGATCGCTGATATCTTCACCAAGGGCGACACTCGTTATCGGCTGAAGTTCCTCTTGGACAAGCTGGGAGTTTTCAATGCCTACTCGCCAGCTTGCGGGGGCGTATCAATGCAGGAAGAAGAAGACGAGTGACTGCAACGGCTACTTGCAGAGGAGCTCGAGGTTTGAACAAGAAACGAATCAGGCAGAAACGAAACGTTTCTGCCTTCCCCTCCATCTAGTGTTTCAACGAGTGCTAAAGCGACGTCGTGGAGGTGCTCAATGTTACGTTAGGCGGAGATACAAAGGCCAATCGCACGAAGAAATGTGGCACTCTTTTATTACTGTGTTTTGAATTTCAGTTTTAACAGTCATTTCCGTTTTCACTGTTCTGTAAACTTTACCTTTGACATTGGTATAAATACAGAGTAACAAGGAAGAATCTCTTCCTTGCGGGTTCTCCCATTTTGTACCGCCTTCACCTTCTTCCTCTCCTCTCTGAAACCCTACAAACCCTAAGCTCGCAGAGCTTTTTCATAAACTTCCGTTCAATTTCAGTAGGTGGGAAACTTTAGAAAGGAAAACTTATGCCCCGTAGTATTCATTCTGTTTACTGATTTTTGACAACAGAAAAGGGAATATGAGGAAAAGGAATTTGTCATTTGCTGAGAAACAAAATCTGAAGAAAACTTGTTTAGTTGGAATTTGGGAACCTAGAGGGTTCTGAAACTGAAACCTGGAAATGAAAACTTATTTAGATATGATTGTTACAAACTGATATCTATTTTAAATAGGAATCATGTTTTAATCAGATAAACAAAACAATAGTACATCAACCAATATTTTAAGAAGTACAACTACAATATCAAATATCAAATAAGTGATAACATCAAATAATTTCTGCTTGAAAATCATTCCACAACTTGTCAGCTATTTCACCACCTCGAAGAGACGAGGCTGGTTGCGGTGGTGAGAAGTGAATACGACTGAGAGAAGAACAAAAGATGAGAAGAAGGGGAAAGGGTTTGGCTGTTTAGGGTTGGTTTTGCCATCCAAATGAAAGATGGGTATAATAAATTGATAATGGGGTGTTTGTGGGATTCGATAGGAGGACCTCATTAACGTCATTAATGAGGAAGGGGGAGAAACCCGCCCGTTTTCTTTCCAAGAAACAAATAAATGGTGTTTCCCAAAACTGCTCCTGTTTTTTTACTATTTGATTCCCCAAATGAAAACTAATGGAATGATAATGGAAAGTAAACGCAATTTTATGTTTTCATTTATAAATATATAAAATGGAATGAGAAAATAGGAATAGGAATGGTTACTAAACAGGGCATTACTTTTTCACATTTTTCGGAGCAAAAATGTTTTCCTTCTCGCTATTATGAATATTGGTTTCAGCCTTTGGTGGAGGGAAATTTTGGAGCCAAAATTATGATATCAAATTGAACTTGTTTATATAAGTTAATGGTCAAATTGAACTTGTACATATACATTATGGTAAAAGTTCAATTAAACTTGTATGTATACTTTAATGGTAAACTTGAACTTGTGCCTATACTTTAATGGTAAACTTGAACTTGTGCCTATACACTAATAGAAAAATTGAACTTATAAATATACCTTATGGTAAAGGTTCAATTTAACTAGTACCAACCTAATTCCACCGCCGCCTCCGCTTTTCAGTTGGGAATCACTTCGTGGGAAGACCCTTCAGAGGGATAAAGAGATCGAGAGCGCTGTTGTTGATTGTGTCATCATTTTCGAAGGGATTCATTGCGACTGGAGATGGTTAAGCAGATTCATGTCATGAATCAGGCTAGAAAACGAAGGTTGGGCTAAGACGTATTGTAGATCTGGATTCTGGAGCAGACTTAGTGAATTTTTGACAAATGGATCCTCAATCAGATAAGACAAGAGACTCCGACCCTTGTTTCCCCCATACGCAAGAGGCTCGAAAAGCATATCCAGATTCTTCGCCAACTCTCACCCACCACCACACTCCTCCCACTCCGCCACCACTCCAATACGACCCTGCAACCCAATCTCAACTCCCAAACACAAGTAGAGACGAATTAATAATTTTCACGGTCCCGACTATATTAATTTATAGAGGCTGTACTGTACCTTAATGGTCAAACTGAACTTGTACGTATACCTTATGGTAAAGGATCAGTTAAACTTGTACGTATACCTTAATGGTCACATTGAAACTTGTACATATACACTAATAATGGTCAAATTGAGATGTATATATACATTAATGATCAAATTGGGCTTGTACATATACCTTAATGGTCAACTTGAACTTGTACCTATACACTAATGGTCAAATTGAGTTTGT